ACACCTTGGGCAAAGAAATTGATAGACTTAGTCCCATACAATAGGGACTGGTTTAACTTAAAGCAACCTGTTGTATATTGTCTAGTATCTCCCTGATGTAAAAAGTCCTACATTGGCAAGACGGTTAGGGGTGCTGCCGAACAATGGTGGGAGCACGTTAGATGTGCTGAAAACAAGAATGGAGGGAAGGCGCAAATACTCTATAACTGGCTGGGTAGGTATAGTTGGGGAAAGTACGTCGTCATCCGCATTGCTGTGACAAATGTTGGAGGTCTGGCGGAACTCGAGAGAACGCTTATCAAGCGTTTCTCGCCTTCCCTCAACAATAGCGGTAAAAGTACGACTACGAACAGTAAGAAGAGATTGGGCAAAAAGGAACGAAAGTCTATGGGGAAAGTGCAGAGGGGGGAGAAGATGCTAGATACGGAGAGGAAGCTGCCAATAATTCTTTTCTTCCACCCACAATATGGTAATGGGAGGACTTCGAGTTTGAAAACTGTTATAGAGGCGGCGCACATGGAAGGTAGGAAACTAGTTCATCTGTACTGTGAAGGAGGCGATGTATGGGGAGAAAATTGGGCGTTGGTTAAAAGACTTTACGGAGCATCAACGGTAGTCTCAACGGACAGGAAGACTGCCCTTGCTCATGCAAAGTAGAAGTTCGAAACTGGTGGGTACCTATGGGTGTCGCCAATAGTACTGACTCAAAATGCCAGATAGAAGGGGAAATGGTATTTACGGCAACTACTAGAGATGCCATAACGCAAGGAACTATCGTCCATGTCGATAGCGAGGCTTATGCACTTGTATAGCAGTGCTGGTACCTTTAGTGGGAAGAATACAAGGAAAACGGTGAAAGATTTCATAGCTAATACTGTGGCGAAGAAGGCCAGAGTGAATGTCAAGAAGAAGATTACTGTCAAGGTACAATTTAGGAAAGAAATTTGTAATCGGGAGGTGAAGGACGTACTAGTGAGCAAGATTGGCAGTTGTGAACTACACCCTGCTATTGTTGGATGACTTAGCAGGAAGATGCAATTCGTCTGGCATAGGACATGGTCATCATGTGCCACTTACTCTACGAAAGGGGATTGGACATGGTTTACTTGGAATGTCGCATACGATATGGTAAGCAACAATGAAGCGGAGATACTGCAGAAGATGAAGACAAATTACAAGAATCACGGGCTGGACCAGCTCGCTGCGTGGAACTGCAAAGGAGCTATTGGGAAAGCTTATGTCCTTGCCAAGCACAAGGATCTCACAAGGTTTCGACCAATTGCACCAGCTTGCAATGAACCTTCGAGAACGGGTAGCCGTTGGATTGCAAAAGCCTTGAACTACTTGCTAGCCAAGGTCCTCGGAGTCACGCACTTCAATCTTACGGCCACAACGCGTGTGAAGGAAAACCTTCTACTTGCAGAGAAAAAGCTGCAGCTGTACGACGAGCACACAATGGTCACTGCCGGCGGATTTGACATAAGGAAATGCTCACATCATTACCGCATGCTGCTGTTATGGAGGCTGTTCACTGGCTATTGAAACTATGGGAAAAGAAGGGCTATCACCAGATTACTGTCAGCGGGAGAGGTAAGCTGGTATCCATGGGAGTGAAGCTCTTGGGCAAAGGCTATGTGAAGATCAAGTTTCGACAGGTACTGCAATTTGTGGCCTTTGAGCTGCGGAATACTTACACCTCATGCAAAGGAAAGCTCCTCAGACAGAGGATTGGAGTGCCAATGGGGAAAAATTCTAGCCCGCCATTGGCTTGTATACTTTGTGCAAAGTTCGAAGTCGAATTTTGGGCTTCGTTGGGCAGAGATCGGTGGCTGGTGCATGGAGTTGGGTTCATGGATGATGTGTCCCTCGTTGTCACTTTCAACCGCAGGAAGGAGGGATCAGTCCAAAAAGCTTTGCTTATCATGGAGAGGTTTAAAAACTGCTATGGTAGCAAGCTCTCACTGGTTCGCACCAACGGCGGGTCAAATACTATCGATTTCGTTGGGGCTAGGATCATTATCATTGAAGGGAGAATCCGATTTATTATGGAACCGAAAGCCAAGAACGAGTGTACTCGTCGGCAGGAACAGCTCACGTTTCGCTGTTTTCAGGATTTCTGCTCCTACTCAGATAAGCGGGCCAAGATCGAAGCCATCACGGGCAGCCTTCACCGTATTCAGCAAATGGCGAACTGCAGGAGCATGATCATTCTCCCTGTGATAGCCATGAAACAAGAGCTTTTGTGCCGGGGTTATCCCCCGACGCTCTTCTTCAATGCCCTAGCATGGTTTGGTAAGGGCACCATGGCACTCAAAGAGCCTTGGCGGAGGCTGCTTGAGTGCATGGTATGCTGGCAGGCAGAGAAGGGTAATAGACGAATGCACGCTATTTAGATATGGAAATAGGGATGTGTAGGTGTTAATTTCAAGGAGTCTGTCGGTGTTAATTTCAAGCAGTCTGTCTTCTTTTTTACAGCCCTGTTTGGCATCCGCGTGGAGAAGTACCTCCGCCTGGTTACCCTAAAATATGTGTGCTGCAGTAGAATAATCGATCCTTACCCGTTGCTAACGGGCAAGCAGTAACACGACAGTGGAGTAGTCTGGTAGGGACTGATTTAACCATTCACTATAAATTTGTAATTTATTGTGAAACATTGTTCGTTTAGCATTTCAATTCGAAAGTGCACGTCCAGTTTGTTACAAAGGTACGTGGGAATTTGTCCGTTTCTTTGTTGGTCTCACAGGCAAGGTATGAAATCTGCTGTATTTTGAGAATAAATAGTACCTATCTGTGCGGAAATGAATAGCTTAGCATACTCTATTAAGTGGATAGTACTTCTATTAATTTGAAGAAAGACACACGTACAATGCACCGCACACGTACAATGCACCGATAGTACCCTTGGATTTCCTATTCCGAGGAAAGTGCTCGTTATCTGCTACCGGTTAGGGCCCGCGCTATTACGCTCGAAATTTCTTGGCGAGATAATCAGTTGTAAGCCGATTTCAAATTCGAATGCTGCCGACATGTAGCTGAACGACGCAACAGACGAGGATGACACGTGTGGGACTGCGCCGATAGCTAGTTGAATGGTATAAGAGAGGGCAAGGCCGTCAACCCTCTATTCTCAGTTTATTGGTCGGAAAGTCTGGTGGTGCTGCAAGGTGGATCTGGGGAGAAGCCCCATGATGAGTGCCAGAGGCGCAGCCTGGCCGAGGAGATTGCACGTTTTTCGGAGAGTTGTACATGCAGAGAAGAAATGTAAATCTGTTGATGCGTGTACGAGAAGCAGTCTTTGTCCACTGTTTTCGCCATTCTTCTTCTTCTTCTTCAACACCCTAGCACCATTTGCCAAGGGCACAAGCGTTATCAAGGAGCCCTGGTTGAGGCTGCTTGAGAACCTGGTACAATGGGATAACAGTGCGTGGCCGAAATTTTTGTGGCGGATGTGGCCTTGAATAAGGCACCGTATTTACAAAATTTTTTGTTCGGTTTATTGTACGTTTTAAATTTTTGCATAGAATAGAATTTTTAGTGTAAATATCTTCTTTGTGTAAAAAGTAGAAATTGTTCACGAGGACGGTAGGAACATTTTTCAGTAGGCAGTTTCTATCGTAGAATTAGAAATTGACCGCATATTTCCTCTATTAGCAAAAAAATGTTCGAAATTAGCGGATGAGATAGAGACATTTTTGGAAATTGCAGGCTTGGGGGATGAAGGTCCTTCCTATTATCGACATACATAAATCAATCCCTTTTTGTCCTTGAAAATACGTGGACATCGACTAGTAGGTGTGCCACGGTATCTCCTCTGCTAGTTAGGTTACTCAAAATCATGACTATTCTGTTGAGTTTTCCCATTCATGTCACGGCACTACCGGACTATACCCGCCTAATTCCCGAAGCGGGAAAATGTACTGCGTGGTGGATTTGAATTGGTACAGGTCACGTGGAACCCGCTTGTAACTGACTGGGTAACCGGGCCAAGTATTAGGAATAGAGCCTACGATCCACGCGACACGATTTAGCCCAATAGGAATTGGAGTCAGTAGTTCGATGGAGGGATGTGAACGTTGGAAAGACTATTTGTGGAAGGGAGCCCCTAGCCTACGCATATTACTATGTACACGTGAAACATGCGGCAAAAGCTGGTCCGAAGGGATAGATAGCATGTCGATGATCGCAAACCTACGTGGATTGACTATTTGTTGCTCGTTGAGGGGTCGACACGTAACGAATTATCATGAAGCTCGGCATAACGTCTATACGGCAGACCGGTTGTAGCAGTAGTCGCTCGTGGAAGTGCCCGTTGGGAAGGGAGTACCGTGCTAGCTAGCCTGACAGCTCGATGGACAATATAGAGGACAAGGCCGTATTGGTCCTCTATACTAAGTAAGACAGGAGGATCGTCGGTGGGCTGCAAGGAAGGGTCATGAGCCCCCTGTGGATGATCGGAGCACAATCGATCGAAACGCGTCGGGGATTGTGCGCATGAGCTGAGACGAGTACGCGCGACTATGTATTGATGAGCTTTCGAAGCGTGTACGAAAGGAAGTTGGCCACTGTTTTCACTATTTTGTGTAGCATGGTAACCGGATGAGAGGAGATACTCAGACTGCTGGCTATGTCGACGAGCGGCTTCAGTGGAACAAACAGGCAATAGAAAGGCAGCAACAAGATAGGTGTATCTACAATAACGAACATTAGCGGAGTTGGCACACGTAGAAGGAGGACGAATAGAGACGACTATACGAGAGAGTTACCGAAGTCTTTACGAGTGCACGTTAGCAATATGGCTTCATCAGGCACTACATGAACTGGAGCAGGCGGGGCAGGAAGTTCTATCATCTGTTTCAACTGCGGCCAAGCAGGCCACATTGTGAAAGATTGGGCGGCAGGCAAAGGACAAGGTGCTTTTGCTAACAATATGAAGTACTGACAATTGAAAAAGGAGAATGAGGATAACGTAAACCGGGTAGTCAGGTGGGCGGACTGCAAAATGCAGAGGGAAATGCAGGAAGTTGAGAATAAGAAGGCAGAGGAGGAGAAGAGAAAGAAGCTGAACGAAGAAGGCAGCAATTGGAAGGCGCGATGAGAAGATTCGAAGGATGTTTGCTGGCATCGAGCGAAGAATGATGGAGGAATGCGACAGAAGTGACAGGAAGACAGAAGAGGCGGAGCTTCGAACGATAGCGGCAATATCAACGGATCTGCGTAACTTCAACACGGAGATAAGGACTGAAATCCAAACGACACTAGAGGTGAACTCCAAGGCGCCGAAACAGGACAGAGTACTACTTGCGAGCGGGCTGGATACTTACCTAATGGAGGAAGAAGTGATGACGAACGGTGGTTCGAAGGTACCATCGAAGAGAGCAAGAGGGAAGCGAACATCGAAGACCTTCACAACGCTGGGCGACTGGGAGTCAGAAGCAAAGGTCATGTCAAAGGCGGAGTATGAGAAAAGCTTGAGGAGGAAGGCATGCACGCTGATGAAGAGCGCCTCTGCCATAAAGGAGACCCCCGCTTCTTGCAGCAAAGGGAATATAGTGCGAAACATCCTAGATACTAGACCTAAGCTAATGGTGAAGGAATGGCGGGAAGTCAAGAAGTTATGTGAGGCAAGCAACATCACCTACATCTCTAAGGAGCAAGGCGTTCGTGAGCTATTGAATAGATCGGCGTGGGGCGATGACGATGAGCTTTTGGAGGAGACATGGGAGCGTGAAGACATTTAGGATTAATGGCGGTTTGTGCCCCCGATGAAGCTCATCTGGGCTTACATTGTCATTCTCTTCTCTTTGAGAGAGACAATTTGGGGGAACGCAGGAGTATCGAAATAGATCGGTGACCGAGAAAGCCTCTACGACTTGTACAATGTTGCTAGCATTGTTGGGCCATGTCTCGTGGGCGAGGAAGTTCCTAGACTTAGTACCACATAATTGGAAATGGTATGATTTTAAGCAGCCTGTAGTCTGTCTCCTTTTGCCATGGTGCAGGAAAACACACATTGGCAGGTCCATAAGAGGTGCTGCGGAAAGATGGTGGGAGGACGTTAGATGCACGAAATCAGGAACGGAGGGTAGAGCGCCACTACTTTACAAGTGGCTGAGAATGTTTAACTGGAGTAGATATGTCGTTATTCCTACTGCGGAAGTCAGTGGACTAGAGAACCTAGAGAAGACGCTCATCAAAAGATTTTCCCCGTCGCTTAACATGTTAAGCACGGGGCGGAAAGGAGCGCGAAGAAGAGGTCGGGAATAAGGGAAAGGCAAGCCCGGGCAGCCAGAGACAAGGGAAAGGATGTGGCAAAGCGAACACATATCATCGTATTTTAGAAGAGTGATAGTTCGCTCGGTAACACTATAGGCAGTCAGAGACAAGGGAAAGGATGTGGCAAAGCGAACACATATCTTCGTATTTCAGAAGAGTGATAGTTCGCTAGGTAACACTAGCTTACGGACGTGTCGAGACTCAGCCTATAGGGAGGGAAAGAAACAGATGTAGATTGTTAGTGAAAGTTTTAAGGTCTGGGGAGAAGACTGGTCCTTAGTAAAGAGATTGTTTGGTACCTCCACTGTCGTGGCACAGGTAGGAAAGATGACTCTATCCCATTTGAAAACCTGGTTCGAGGAGGGGGGTAGTTTCTGGATTGCCCCCATCGTCATCACACAAAACGCAAGAGACAGTGGGAAAGGTTACCTGTGGCAGCTCTTAGAGATGCCTTTCAAGCGGAAAGAATTGTCGCCTATGCCAGTTGATAAACTTATGCACCGTTCCAGCTGCGCTGGCTCCTTCAAGGAGGAGGAAAAGAGGAGAGTGATTTAGGATTTTTTGGGAAAGGTGGTGGGAAAGAGAACCTGTGTAAATATTCGGAAGCGGATCACAGTTCAGGTCACGTATAGGAATGAGGTGAGGAAAAGCGGCATTAGGATTGTCCTTATCACAAATATTGAGAGTTGCGGCCTGCACCCTGCAATCGCAGGGATCTTCAAAAGGAAGGCAAGGGTAGTCCGGAGAAGAAAGAGGAACGTAGCTGAGATTCTTTGTAACTACAAGCAACTGATTAAGAAGCCAGAACTACCGCTCGTATGCAAGCACTATGACCTACCCGTTGTTAGTGGCCACGTACTCACAAGGATAGCTGATGTCCCTAGATTGCCGACCTTGGCTCTCAACCGGAAGAACGTGGTCCGTCCCAAGCTCGAGACAACAAAGGAAGAAGTCAGCAGCAGCATACGACTTGCGCTCACAACGGTGCTCGGGAGCCGAATTGGCAAGCATCTGCCTAATCTCCTGACTGGTAGTTGTTTCTCATCGAAATGGAATGAACGCTGCGTTATGGACGATGGGTTGCTCTACGCCGTCAAAAGGCAGTTCAGGGACTTGTTAATTACGCAAGTCGACAGGAACGCGGGTGACTTGGTGCTGATGTGTCCATCCACGTACCAGCATGGCTTGAATAAAATGTTCGCCTGGAGCGTAGCTTATGACGAGGTCAGCAGCAGCGAATCAGAAACATTGAAGGAGATGAAGCGAGACTCTGAAAGCCGGGGCTTGCACAGGCTCGTGAACTGGAACTCAAAAGGGAGGATCGGTAATGCGTACGTGCTACCCAAGCACAAGGACCTTGAATAATGGCGGCCTATTACCCCAGCATGCAGTGAACCCATGATGACTGGCAGCCGATGGACTGCGAGGGCGCTCAACTACCTACTGGAAAAACTCCCCGGGGCAGAGCATTTCAACCTCACTGCAAGAGCCATGCGCAAGCAAAACTTCAAGAAAGAGGAGAAGAAGCTTTATATTTATGACGGAGAGATGATGACGATGTGAGGGGGATTTGACATTAAGGAAATGTTTACATCCCTTCCGCATGCTGCTATCATGGAGGTGCTATCCTGGCTGTTCGGAGAATGAGAAAAGAAGGGCTACTGGAAAATTACGGTATGCAAAAGGAGAAAGCAAGTCTCCCTCGGCGCGAAGGAAAGGCTACGTCTAGTTCCCCTTCAGCTATATTCGGAGTTTTGTAGCTTTCAAATTGCAGCACACCTACACTATGTGTAGAGGGAAGCTGCTGGGGCAAGTCATTGGAGTGCCAATGGGGAAGAACTCCAGTCCCAGAACTCCAGTCCCTTACTGGCTTGCCTACTGTGTGCGAAATATGAAGAAGGATTTCTGAAATC